ATATATATATATATATATATATATATATATATATGCCATTAGGACACATATTAGAAAATCCCTAAATTTATACTTATTTATCAAAAAAAAATGTTGATTTAAAGTTATTTTACATTCTACGTGTCAAACAAACTAAAAAATTGTTTGGATTCATAATAATGAATTTTGTTTTAGAGTGATTTGATTTTTAAAATTACAAGAGAATTTCGTATATTTTTATAAACATTAATAATATATTGTTACATTATAGTTTCTGAATATCATATTTATTTTTCATACACTTTAAAAATATCATATTTGTCCAAAATATTTATTTGTAACATTTTTAAACATTTTATAGTCATTTTAAATATTTATTTGGATCAATTGATTATTATACGACTCTTGTAAATCTAATTAAGTTTAAATTATCCTCTATAGCATTTATAAACTTTCAAATTATCATATTTAACTAAATTATTATATTAATCAGTTCTAATAAGTAAGTTTCTAATAAGTAAGAACTATAAATAACTAAATAATTAATTTCCATTGAAACAATTATGCACTCCCTTCGCTTCTATGTTCATTCTTTAAGCTTGACGTAGGTAATAGAATCTAAAATTGATTTCCTAAACCCTTGTTGTCGTCTTTTCTCAAGCACATGGGTTCGTCGTGTCGTCTTCGTCATCCTGTCATCAATTTCATCTTCAATCATCCCCTTCCCCACCACGTCTCCTCTCGTTCTCACAACCTGTACCTATCATGGATTTTGTACTGATCATGGATTCTGGTTGTTTCCTTTTTAGTAAGAGTCAACAATTTTCGACTAATACTTCACTAACATTGTCCTCATGTTATCAATTTGGAATCTGTTAATATGTTTGGTGAAAGTTATTTTGTTTTGGAATTACGAAAATTGTTGTTGTAATATTATATCCACCAATCATTCTTCATGTGAACCACTTAAAACCTTTTTTTATTATTGATTGATATGGAATATATTTTTTCAAATAGTTGACATACACCGTAAACAATTTGCTAACTGCAAAACCCTAATATTGGACCAAATGGCATTTTCGTAATTATTAGGGCCAATTTGCGTACGTTGTGCATTCCCCCAGGTACGCTACGCGTACACCACGACCCCAAACCTTAATATTTAGGGTTTGGACCCTATTTAAGCATCCTTAAGTCCCTAACTTGCCTTCTTTCATCAGCCTCCAACCAACTTTCATCCCCAAGCAAACCCTAATCCATTTTAGAGCATTCTTGAGCATTTTGTGTGTGTTTTGGTAACCTTGAAGGAAAGAGGAAGAATAGAAGATCATCTTGGAGGAGTGGGACTCTTTGGATCTAGAATAGCAACATCATTTGACATCATTTGGAGGTGAAAAGCTCTAAACTTGATTAAGAGTTGTTTAGATCTTGTTTAGTTATGAAATGATGTTCTTTTGGTCCCATAAGCTTGGTATTATGAGTATGGGTTACTCTAATCCATATAAGATGTCCTTTCAGACATTTTGAAGCATCTACAAGCATAAAATGTAATCTTGATTGTTACGTTCCTTCTATGCATGAGTTACAAGGTCTTAATGGGTTAAATAGTTAGGGTTTTGTGTTTGGGCACTTAATGGCCATGCAAGACCATAAAGTTGGAAACTTAATGGTTAAGGACGTTAGTTTAGGGCTATATCTAGAATTTGGACAAAAGAGCTTAAAGAATAAGCTCTTAATGGAAGGTTTTAGTGAAGGCAACGTACGTTGGGCGTAACCCAGATACGCCGGGCGTACTAAGTCAACCATCCCGTATTTTGGTCAGTACTCATGTACGATGGGCGTACAAGATGAGTACGATGGGCGTACTCAACTCATCGTACTCAGCTGTGTTGACCAGGTTTGACTTTTTGACTTTGACCATAATTTGACCAAGTTTGACATAAAGGTATTTTGAGTTATATTTGAGATTAGTCACTATTTGATAAATAGGTAACGGGTAGATATGATATTCGGAGCAAAGACCTATTTAGCTACTTGTTCGGACTGAGAGGTGAGTTTTCCTCATTGTTCTTGTGGGTCAAAGGCACTAATGCTGGCCCATTAGTTTATGTATCTTAGTGTATAGGATGTTGCTATGCGGTAGTGTTTTGTAGATCTGTTTGTTTAGTCTGTTGACTGATTATATGATTATCTGTTGCTATATATATGTTAATGTTATGTATATGTCGACATAGTATGTAGGTTGAGAATGTGCTGCTTTGTGTTGTCAATCAACAAACCGGAGCATTCCAACCAGGAGGTTGTGGGCCAAGGGTAATCTAACCAAGAGGTTGTAGACCCATTATGTATTGGTCAAGCCAACTAAAAGGTTGTGGGTCGGGACATTCCAACCGTAAGGTTGTAGGACAAGGATAATCCAACCAGGAGGTTGTGGACCCGATGTATGTTTAATTATATGTTATGTGGTGGTACTTTGGGGGAACTTACTAAGCTTTGGCTTACAATTTCAGTTTGTTGTTTTAGGTACTTCAGATGACCGTGACAAGGCGAATGTGTGATCATACACATCATTCAGTTTTATGTTATTTGGATTTTGAGATACTCTGATTACTGAAATACACTTTTGAAACAATGATTTGTTAATCAATTATGTTTTGAGTTGTTTTTGAAAAGTTAAAATTTATTGTGATTTTTGAGATGTTACACTTGGTAAATGACAAACACCATAAACAGTTTGATAATTGCTTGATAAAATGGGTTTTTTATTAGTTTTTTTTTATTTAAATTTATTAATATAATTATTTGTTGGATGATCTGGTACATTGTAAACTGTGACTTATTCATGTTCATACCATAAACGTCAAATATGAAGGATACTTTAATATTATCTTTTCAACCTTCAATGATGAAAATAGATATATTTCAAACTTATATTTATAAAGAAGCATGATAGTCAATTGATAAAAATAATGATTTAAATTTATTATAAAATGTTTAAAATGTTAAAATTAAGGATTTAGACCAATATAATATTTTAAAAGTTTGTTAATAATACATACGATAATTAGAAAATAGATTGATCATATCTTGATATTTTAAAAAGGTATATATTAAACTTAGATTTATAAGAGATATATAATAATCATAATTTTTAATAGAACATATATTGAATATACATGTGATCATGGTTGATTCGGCGTCAAAAGCCATAACAAACAAGAGAGAAAATATATTAGAATACATATGAATATATATTTTTTTTCAAAAGAAGAGATTTTTTTATATATTTATAAAAAAAGGTGTTTATATAAAAGACCTAGTTTTGTCTCTTGAATTTCAACTTATTTATCAAAAAAAAAAAAATGTAAAGTTAAAGTCAAACAAATGGCGTGTTCGGCAAAAATAATTGATAACTGGTAACTTCTAGCTGGTAGTGTTTTGTTAAACGCTGTGTGAAGTAGCATTTGGATTTGAATCGTTTTGTTTAAACTAAAAGCTAGAAGCTTGTAGTGTCAAACGGGACTTTCAGTTTAAAACGGAGCGTTTTGTCAAACGCTAGAAGCTAGAAGCTCTCAAACACTTCCAAGCGCTCCGTGCCGAACACACGCAAAATAAAAAAGATGTTTTGATGGAAGTCGTAATAATGAATTTTGTTTCGAAGTTATTCGATTATTAAAATTATAAGCAATCAGTTTTATACTTACTAATCTACTACACCAATTTTGATAATTAAATAACAGAATAAAGTAGTTAGTTTTATTTAATATAACGACTCAACGAGTAGATACAAATCGAAAAATATATGAAAAGAAAGTAGCTATTGAACATACGTGTGATCCGAGTTCATTGGAAGATAAACACACGACGAATGAGATAGAAAGTACGTTGAAAAACATATAAATATAATTTCCAAAGTAAATGAGCCGTTTTTTTTGCACAAAATCAAAGATAGCCGAGAGAATCATTATTGGATATATTTTTCGTAGGCCATTATATTGTCGGATATACTTTTTTTCCTTCAAAATTTCCATATATTTTATTTTATTTATCAATAAACTATTAATGTGGTGGCCGTTAGGTAAACTTTGGCACCCCATAAGGAAAGTTTGTACGTCAATCATTAGTGGTTTCGATAAAAGATGATCAAAAGTAAAATGTGATGCAACTCTAAAAACTATCATAGCTAAAGACGAATCTTTTACCTTATTCTCGCAAAACGGGGAGACCTAGACGATTGAAACTCTTTTTTTTTATCAATAAATCTAAAAATAAAATGATGCAATGATAACTGATTAATTGTAGGTTAACTTTGATTTAAATAATACCAATTTTAAAGTCGATAATCCCTTTGTATATTGTCCCAATTTTTACAATATTTAAAAAAAAATATATGTTTTTCTTTGATGTTGACTTCCTTTGCCATAGAACATCAAGAATCAACATCATTCCATTCTCTGATATTGACACAAAGGTCAAACATGCCGTAAATATCCCAGTCAGTCACACGTGGCATCAACCCATTGATGGCTTCATATCTCCATCCTTGCACCTACTGTGCCCCATCACAGCGTATCACGAGTACCATCACCCTACCACACGCCATAAATGCTTTACCCTCCAACAACAAATCCAAGCCGTTGATCAAATAAACCTTTTTCGTGTTGCCACGAAGTGAGTTCATATATCAAAGCTGTCTATCCAAGTTAAACCTTCCCTCCAAAGACTACAGTAGGCTGGCGAGGTAGGATATAAAAAACTCCCAATTTGATTCCGTGTCTTTGAGAGAGATTTTAGAGAGAGAGAGAATCTCGCCTACAATAAATTCGTGTTTGTATAAATCACAACCATCTTCTCGGTGGTCTAGGATCAGGGTTCACCGAAGGTACATTCGTCAATCCGATTCTCGCGCAGTCTGTGTAAGAAAAATCATCAAAAAAAACTCATTGCTTTTGCTTGGTATAATCGATAGCCGTTTTGTAGATTTGTAGAATTGTGTTTAAAAGAGTTCAAGATTGTGTCTAATCTTAGAGATTTATCGTCGAAATAGGGGCATGCATTGAGGTTTTATGCTTCGAGTATATAAAAATGTTTGCTGTATAAAAGTTGAAGTTTGGGGTCTTTTTCTGTTACGTGTTTACTTTAGTGCTAGATTCTTGTATCGCGATTGATGCAAGAATTATTTACCGACGTTTAGGTTCTTTTGGTAGTCCTTTAGATTGATCGTTTAAAAGGGGGCATGCATTGGGGTTTAGTGCTTTGATGGGGTATTTATTGCATATATTAAACTTGAGTTCTGATTCTCATTTTGCGTTTTGGAATGTTTGATCTTGGGGATCTTGCAGCTGAGTTGCTGTTTAGATGTTTTGATTGTTCATCTTTTCTGTAAAAGTGGTTTAGAGGTGGGTTTACTGTTCATATTGGATGGTTTTTGTTTCTTGATTTTGAAAACTAGGGCTTAAAGAACTTGTTTAATATGTTTTAATGCTTTTTATCATTTCCAGTTATGGTTGGAGGGCTTTCCTAAAACGAACAATACTAGCTGCAGTGATCAGATTTTTAAGTCTGATTTCGGATTTTAACGGCTTAAGATTCTAGTTTTATAGCAAATCAAATCCTTATACATGTATCAAATTTTAATGATTGATTTCAAATTTTAATGCTTGATATTCAAGTTTTGTAGACCTTTTGCAGATTTGAACTTTACATTAGACTCTTCTTATATAATCATTTGTTGAAATATTTTTTTCCGACGGATTCAATAAGGTAAATTATCGTACGAGTAAGATACATGGAAATTAAAACCCTTTTGGTCACTTGTCATAATCTTTGCAATTATGTGTTGCATTCACCAAAAATCCCCATCACTATTAAAGCAGCCAACATTGAAATATCATGTGATCATGTTTCTTATGACTTATGGTACTTGATGTTAGTAATGTTACTTTATAATCTGTCATTGTTTGGTAAAAAGATGCTATCTTGTAGTTACTTGTGAAATAAATGTAAATCAAAAGGGACCAATGTTCCTTTCCTTTGTTCATTTCACAAAGTTTTATAGAATACTTCCACAAAAATCTTAAATTACTATTTTTTTATTTTTTCTTTTTGTATAGATGGAAAAAGGGAATGTTGGTGATCAAGCTCAATCTTTGTCCACCAAAGATGAGTCCAATTCTTCTGCAATACATGACTATTCTGCACAGGATGTTGCTGATGCTTTTGTGAAACAATACTACAATATACTGCAAGAATCTCCACAAGATGCTCATAAGTTCTATAAAGATACAAGCATCCTAGATCATCCATGTCCTGATGGTTCAATGAAATCAGCAACAACATTAAAGGTAAGAAACTTTTGGTTCAATTGTGGCCAATTCGATTGCAAAAACTTATCCCATAATTTATATATATATTTTTTGTATCAGGATATTGATAATGAGCTCAAGGGTTCAAATATCAAGAACTGGAATCCAAATCTAACGACTGTTCATGCTCAAGATTCAGTAATGGGATCAGTGATTGTGGGTGTAACTGGATTTTTGACTGATAATGATAATGTGACAAAACACTTTGCCCAAACCTTTTGTTTGGCAACACAAGAAGGTGGTGGCTTTTATGTACACAATGATTTTCTTCAGTTTATAGAAATCAACAACATCTCAGAAACAGAAACTTCACCTCCTAATCTTGATGTTGCAACCCCAACAGTTGCTCCACAGGCCATTGATAAAGGTAGTTGCTATTTCCTGCAATTTGCCCATGATTCTAATAATTTGTTTTCATATCCTGTTTATTAATAATAATAATAATAATAATAATAATAATAATAATAATAATAATAATAATAATAATGTTGTCTGTTTGTTTGTTTAGAAAAAGGTTCACCCAAAAAGGATGAAAATAAGGTTGTGAGCTCATCAAAAGGAAAGAATCCACTTCCTACAGAACCAAACAAGAAAAGTCAATCCTTAAACATTCAAGAAGAAGCAAAAAGGGTGTCTTATGCATCAATTGTGAGTTTATTTTTTTTGCCTTTTTTTATAATGTTATATAGATTTACCAAATTATAATTACATTCGGATGTAGGTGGCAAAAGAGGGACCAGTAGCATCATCCAGTGCACAAGCATTGCCAAATGCTGATAGGCAATCATTGGCACTTACCAATACCAATACCATACCCAAACAATCTGTGAAGCCATTAACACTTCCTAGCAATGATGTTCTAGAAAGTATGTATGATGGTAAGTAAGATCATTTTCTTCTGAAAATAGCAACAAACTTTTTTCGTGCTACCAATATAGGGAATGAATGTACTTTTATCTTTTATCCACAATACCAACATACTTAAATTATGTTACTGATATAAAAAAAAATATATAGCGAGAAATCTGTATTTTATTTTACATTGATATTACGGGTGAAAATGAAGTACATTAATTGGCATTTTGTTGTTGCAGTTAAGTCAATCCGCATTAAGGATCTACCATCACATATGACTGAGGAATCGCTTCAAGAAGTGGTGAAAAGATTCGGACCTGTCAAAAATAAGAACATTCAAATCAAAGAATACTCACAGGTCTAATTACTTTCAGTTTTTTGTAAATGTAACTGCATATTAGTTTTGGTAACATGATTTGATGATTCCATCTCAGGACGGATATCGCTACGCTTTTGTCGAATTTGAAAGCCCCAAATCTGCCCGCACCGCAGTAGAGGTACAACAATGTCCATGTGGATTTTGTTTTGTTAATAAATACTTAATAATTTTGAGCTGTAATTAATTACTTCTTTGGACATTGTTGCAGGCTCGATTCATCCAGTTTGAGGACAGAGAATCTGAAATTCAGTATAAGAGATATAACAATAATCAAGGTTAAGTTGCTCTGTCTGTCTATTTATTCTTTTTTAACTTTTATGTATATATAGTTTAATTATAGTTATTGAGAAATCTGAGGTTTGGGTTGTTGCAGGAGGAGGATATAGTAATTACATGGGGGGGAGAGGAACAGGAACAGGAAGAGGAGGATTTCGAAGTGATAATTTTTGGGGTCATGTGCAAGGAGGGTATAGTACTAGTAGTAGTGGTAGTGGGACCGGGGGTAGTAGACGTAACAGGTACTCCCAAGATCAATCTCGGAGCTTTAACTAGGTAGGTAGCTACCCCGGGTTACGTAAAACTTTAAACTCTCTACAAAAAACTACTAGTACACCACTCCACAAACAAATTAACTATGTGGTTGAAATGTTTTTTTTTTTTTTTTTTTTTTTTTTTTTTTTTTTTTTTTT